GTACATATTACTGCTCTGGCCATGACGCACCTTGTGCATTATACTGTACAATATTCCGGCCACTGGCAATGCACACACGCCCAAGGGTACAGGTACATGTACAGTTATAGGTACAGTTACAGTTACAGTTACAGTTACTTGCAGACGCTGACACGCGCGCACAGGGAGCATTTATTCCGGGGTACGGAATAACGGCACTTTCTACGCTCAAGCAAAAGCGAAATAAGCAACTTTGCTGTTATGCGAGCCAAGCCGCACCTTGCACGAATATACACCTTGGACACCGTGCACATGCCGGCACGCACTCTCTCGCACACAGAGCAGATCAGCCATGCACACACACAGGCAGCAGCCGCATCTGTAGGCAGGAGTGAGGTGGTGCCGAGGAGGAGTGTGAGTCTGGCGGCGTGTTTAAATTGTTGTTCGCAAAATATTTGCATTGGGCGCCAGGTATGCAAACAGGCATTTAAGTAATTACTGCACTTAATTTTTCATATTGATTTTGCAAATTTATTAAAACTTAATCAATTGTTTAATCACATAATGATTATGCCCGGCACTCACCCGACACACAACACCATCACAAGGAACAGTGAGAAACACATGTGCACACGGCACAGAGACCACGGCACTTTCACGGCCAGGTCGGTGGGTCCGTTCAGGTGTCAATTCTGCCCAAGGCCCTCGCACTGTTTGCTGTGTGTGCCGAACAGAGCGGAGCTGTTCCGTGGAAGTAACACTTATGGGTGATATATTACATATATTATGCAATTATTAAGCACAATCGAACCGAACATTGCCGCAGACAACAATCCACCAAATATTCTGCTGCCTATAGGAGAACTCAATATTTTTAGACTTAAATCTCTTCTAAGACTTTTTGCTCTTTTAGTGCCCAAATAAATGTGGAAAGAATAGTCCAATAGTGGACTCTAATAGTGGATAAACAATTGATAATTACAACAATTTGCAGTTGTTCTTTGAGGAATAGAATTCCTTTTGCTGCATTCCTACATTTATTTGTAAAACGCTGTTTGATAACACATAAAGCAAAGTCATTACAAATCGGAGTTGAAAGACATTCTGTGACATTCTCGATAGGTTGTGTTTGGTGGTTCATTTGGACTCTGGCCCTAGGGCAACTTCAGGTACGTGCAGCCGCAGCATGTTCCCATGAAATGTAAATTAAAATGTTGAATTAATTGCCCAAGTACTGGAGATTCGCTTCTTGGTATCGTCTGGCCCCCGTGGACGTCCCTCGTCCCACATGACGGAGATGCTCTCCCGTCGACGGGTAACAACTAACGAGATTCAATCAGCGGCCACTTTAGCAGCGTTTTCTATGTCATTAAAATTAAGTATATTTACTTACTTGGAATCCGCGTTGTTGTTGCTTTTGTTGGCTCTGGTCCATCCATCGCGATGGGTGTGTGTGTGTGTGTGTGTGGCCGCAGTGTTCAGTTGCTGTTCTGGCTTGATATGTACAATTACCGAAATCGAAATGAATTTTATTGTGGCTCCGGGCAGTAGTAATTCCACAAACAAAACGATCCATTTACCGAACGATGATGCATCCCAAATCAGCCTCTCCAACAGAAGCTGCCCCAAAGAATCCCCAAGCATGAGATAGACGACTGGCTTCCATGTTGACATGAATGGGGAATGGGGAATGGGGAAAGGAGAAACCGGATTGCAGGCCGACCCACTTTGGTGGCTCCAACCCAAAAGCCACCAAATCGTATGACAAATTCAATTAACAACAACTAAGATCTGATCTGTGCGGCACGGAAACGACTTTGACTCTTTGACTCGAATCAGATTGCCATGAATGGGAGCACTTATCCGGGTGGGATTCGTTCTCTCCCTCTCGGGGTATAGGAGAGTTTCGCGCAAGAAAATGTCAAGCTCCATTACTAGGGATGTATACGCCATGTACAATCCCCATAAATCCTGTGAGCGGAGAGCAATAAATATGTAATTGATATTCCCATTGCCATTCACAGTCATAAAGGTGGTAAAAATCAAGAATTCACTCATTGATTTCCATAAATTTCGCCACGCTCTCGTTTCTAATCATCTGTAAGAGACTCCCACCCACACGTACATATTTATGAAAGCATTTTGCCCCCTTTTATGAACTGCCATATCGTGCATCCCCCTGATGTGATATGCTACTTACATATGTACAGTGTATGTGTGTCTGTGGCGGGTTAGCTGGAGTGATTCCGGTGGCCCATCCCCCTTGTGGTGGTGTCCCAACCCTCTTTACATTTGTATGAGTTACTTGTGTCATTCGCCTGTCATATGGCTCACACTCGTGTCCACTCCTAGCACTGGGTCTGCGGCGGCTGTAATGCCAACTCTATTTGTGTCTGCATCAGTTTCGCAATCGGAACGGAACAAGAGTTTTGATCCTATTTCAAACGTCAAGTTATCTCGACGCGCCGCAACATTGCGACTCCTCGACTTGACTCGACTCCAACTACTTGACTGTCACATCTCAATAACCCTCGAGTGGTTTTCAATTGTCTCCAAAAATAAACGCATTTGCATCCATCCAACCCCCAAAACAGATACTCGCTACGCTTTGGGTCTTTTTGGGCCCCTGCCCTGCCCTGCCCGGCGGAGTCGAGTCTATTCCAATCCTATTTGAAATGTTAATTTTTAACGCTTTGTACATTTTTCTAATATTTCAGAAAGCAAAAAGAACAGGAGCACAAAAATGAAACAAGTCGACCGAAGGGCAGACCGAAGGGCAAATACTCTAGAAAACAATTGGCAGGATTGGCTTGCCGATGCATTGGATAAGTCCAACAGAATTATTCTCTAGTTTCCAACCAAATAAGTGAATTTTAAACCAAGCCTCAAAGTACTATATGCATGTGGATTATTTGTTGTACCCTTCCTTTTGAACCTTTGCCTGAGAGTATACCAAAAGCTCGACGCAGACATACAAGTGAAACCTTTTTTTGTTGCCCGTTGTACTTGAACAAAAAAGTCACCCACTCCGCCGGCAAGCAGCCCTCTCCGATTCAGCGGAGTGACATCATCCAATTCAGAAACTTAAAAGTAAATAGATCCCCAGAGAGATGAGTCCCATTCCCAATCCCAATCGTGTATTCCCATACCCAAGCCATACCCAGACCCATTTCCATTCCGTTCCCGTTGTCTTTGGGATGCGATGCTCATGCACGAATGTTTGTCTCAAGTGACATCGCTGCCAAGGATCATCTCATAATGTGGCAAGCGTTTAGCTTGGGCTGTCTCGCCTCCTCCGCACCACGAACCGGCTGGACGGGCTGGATTGGCTGGCTGCCTGCCTGGGTTCCCGGTTGCTCTGCCACAGCGCTGCTCCAACTCGTAGTCATATCCTTTTGCTTGAAACCACTTGACATTTTCACAGTCTCGCATCCATGTCAATTTTGCGGTTTCGGTTTCACACAACTATGCACATATCGTATGTGCAGCCGAGCTCCATTCTCCAGCTGAATGTGGAATTTTTCGGCTTGGATTTTCGTGTGAATACACCGAGAGAAAAAATGTGTATCCACACAAAGGGGGGGCTCATTTTCCTATGGGAATGCAATTTTGCATCAACTAAGTTCTAATTCAAGTTGCTTTATTCTAAGACTCTATTTTGTTCTCTATTTTCTGAACATCTCTTTTCGGTGTCGCATACATTTTTTTTTTTTTTTTGAGTGTACGCGTACCTCTGGGGCGGGCCCTTGACAGGGAGTTGGGCAGCCAGGCCCCAAGCCCAGAGCCAGAGCCAGAGCCAGGCACAGAGTGAGTGACAAAGGGAAGCGCGCGGTGTTAATGTTAATATCGTAGCATGTTTTTTTTATTGGAATGTACATAGTACACTCGTACTCGTACTCGTACTCGTCTGTGCATAGAGATGTGTGGTGTTGTACATAAGACTCGTCTCATGAGTGTTTGTGTGTCTGAGTAGATACTCGGGCCGTGAGTGTGCGTGTCAGTGTCTGTGTAATCTGTCCATAAGTGGCCTCAAATGCCTATCCATAATGATGATGATGATGATGATGATGATGATGATGATGTGGTGGTTGCTTGCCATTGCCGCTGCAGCGACCAATAGTCGGGCATTCATCATGATGCCGGAGAGCCGAAAACACAAACAATTTATGCCGCATGTCACGCCTTCCCCAAGAGCCTTCCCCACACATGTGATAGCCAGAGCGGCAGGGCGTTTCCCATTATAGATCTCATCAGATGCCATCTATAGTATATGGTACATATACGAATCAAAGTTCAGACGTACGAGTAGCTGGCCCCGACACACACTCATCAATGAAGCATCAAAAGATTTCCACAGATTTGCTGTCAAAAATGATTACAAGTGCGCTGGGAAGTGGATCAGACATGTACAAACATATTTCACAACAATATCGGCTCGGTGGTACAGGAGACAGAAACAAATTGCAGTCAAGTCAACGATTTCATTCCATTCGATTCCTTTTTTCTAGCTACCAGTTTTAGGATAATTTCAAGCTAATTGAAAATTCGTTCTTTTTTTTGGCTTTCCAAATTTGGATCCTAATACTTTCAAGTGTTCAATTTCAGTTCCCAACTGTTAAATAATTCTGTTAAGCCTGAGAATCCCATTTAAAAAATACCAAAATATTCAAGTTTTTTTTTAAGATTTCTTTTTTGAATAAATGTTTTCATGTTATTTATCCTTCTGAGGCTGAAACATCCTACGTTAACAATCCTTAATACCCATATTTTCCACATAATAAAAAACCAATTGGGTTGCTTATTTTTTTGTAATTTTCGAATTTTGTTTCGCTGTTTATTTGTTAATGAAAACTTAAAATCATGTTGTAGTACACAATGCACAATCAATCCTGGTTGCAGGGAGGGAGCAATATTTCCTTTACGACAGAGAGCAATAACATTTCTTCACTTTTCACTTACAAGTCTAGCTGCATAGTATTTGGGGCGGCGTGGGGGGGGGGGGGGGGGGGGGGGGGGGGGGGTGGTTAGAGGGGAGAGGGGGATTATTTAACACAATAGGATATGTTTCCATGGAGCTTTTTAGTAGTACATTCAGTTTATAAAATACATTATTGACTATGAAAAAAATTGTTTTGCCTTAGAACTATTTAATATATTTTTTGTTCTTTTGTTCTTTTGTTTTTATAGTTATAATATTTCGTTTATAAATATCAATACTTCGTTGTACACCGCTCGAGATGTGATTGAGAGAGAGAGAGAGCTGGAGAAAGAGAGAGGGTGGGTGGGAAAGTCGCTGATTCCACCTTCGATTCAGTTGGCATTCATTTATTCATTCACACACTCATTCGCACACTCATTCGCTTTAGCTTTGTGCTGCTGCTGCTGCTGCTGCTGGCTGCACTGAGGAACGGATTGAATACTTTATAGTACACTTATTTGTCGCCTTAAAGCTACCATTAAACCTACACACAAAAAAAAGAGAGATGTACATATATTTAGGGGACACAATATAACACAAGTACGAGCAGAAAAAAAGCTAAGTTTTGGAGCAATTCCAGTTTGTAATACCCATCGAGCCAGATTCGGGGACTGCTGCCGTGCCGCACCGTCGGCAGGGCGGTGGGGGGGGCGCGCGATGAGCAGGACTCTGTCCGCCACGCACGCCGCCCAACGCCCTTCCTTCGAGCGCACCACAAGGCCCACCATAAAAATTAAAAAAAAAAATATATATATATATTATTCATAATAAAAAATAATAAACATTTGACTAAGGATCCTTCGTCCTTGACTGCCCAAAGCTTAGACGGAGATGGCGGCATTCGTCGGTGGCAGGTCGCCGTACGGCGCCGGCGACTGCTGCGGCGCCTGCTGCTGGTGGTGTCCACTGCTGTGGTGATGGTGGTGGTGGTGGTGAAGGTGGCTTCCGCCTTGGTGGTGATGGTGGCTCTGCTGCTGTTGCTGCTGCTGCTGCTGCTGCGTCTTGAGCAGCATCGAGCGGTACACCTCGGACAGCAGGCTCCACATGGGCGGCGCATTGGGCGACTCCAGGGCGCCCTGCGGCAGGAAGGCGTTGGGCGGCTGCTGTTGGCTGGAGGCGGTGGCGGTGGCAGCTGCTGCCGCAGCGGCCGCAAACATTTGCGTCTGCAGCAGTCGGAAGTGATGCTGCTCCTCCAGATCCATGGCCAGCGGCATGGGCAGACTCAGCGGCAGGGACAGGGACAGTGGCTGGGACTGTGGCTGGGGCTGGGGCTGGGGCGAGTGCTTCCTGGTCGGTGGCGCCGATAGATCAATGCAGGCGGATGCTGCCGCCAGTGGCTCGGAACTGTCGCTGTCCATCTCCAGCTCCAGCTCCATTTCCATTTTGATGCTCGTCTCTGGGTGGCCGACCGTGGAGGTGGAGGCACTGCTGTCACTTCGCTTGCGCTTGCCCAGCAGACGCTCCATGGAGAAGGCTCCGCCGCAGGGGCTGGACGAGCGCTTGATCTGTTCCCTTTCCCGCTCTGGTTCCCGCTCCTGCTCCTGCTCCGGCTCTGGCTCTGGCTCTGGCTCTGCTTCGCGTCGCTTGTGCAGGCTAAAGTCCAGCGGCTGGTCGCTGGCTGAACGCTGCTCATCGGCACAGGCGCCGCTGCTGCTGCTGTGGCTGGTGAGGCTCAGGCTGCAGTGCATCTCCTCGTCCGCATCCGCATCAGTTTCGCTGGGGCACTCCTGGCTGGAGGCAGCCGGACTGGAGCTGTTTGCATGCATGTCCACGTACACGAAGACACCGTCGTCATCGCCATCGCCATCGCCATCTCCCTCGGCATCGACATCAGCATCAGCATCAGCATCAGCATCTCCCTCCTCCTCTGCATCGACATCATCTTTGTAGAGGCGCTCCTCTCGCTCCTGTCCCGCGGACAGCAGTCCCAGGCTGTGCAGTCCGGAGCCATGGCCACCGCCGAACATCATCGCCGGTGCATAGCCCACGCCCGCAGGATGATGATGCGACGGATGGTGGTGCGGCGGTGGTGGTGGCAGTAGTCCGGGAAAGGCGGCCGGCAAGCGTCCGGCGGCGGCCACAGCCACGGCAGCTGCTCCGGTAAACACGGGGAACTGCTGGGCGGTGCGTCCGTCATGGGGCGAGATCTTGCGGCGGATGTGGGGCGAGTGCAGCTTCGGATTGGGGTTCGCACTGTGCCGATTGCGGGACCTGCGCGAGCTGAACACCATGTTGCAGCCGTCGACGGTGCACTTGTGCATCTCCCGCAGATGCACAGCCGAGAAGTGAATCTTGAGGGCGCCCTTGTCGCAGAAGGTCTTGAAGCAGATGGAGCATTGCACGCGCTTCTTGCCTGTGGCCGGATTGATGAACTGTCCGGCCAGGTTGATGGGCGGCGAGCCCCACCGCTTGGGCTTTGAGGAGCTGCTGCTGTTGTGTCCCGCACCCGAGCCCGAGGATCCGCCTGGGGAGCTGGCTGGCGAATTTGTCGAGCTGGCCATTCCCGGATGTCCATGGGCATGGCCATGGGCATGTCCAAGGGGATGTGAGTGTGAGTGTGAATGTGAATGTGGGCCATGGCCGAGCAGATAAGCGGGTGACATGAACGGATTCATTATGTGCTCCATTGCTGTGTTCGATTTGGTTCCTGCAAAGACAGAGAATGGAAAAGTTTGGCATCATTAGAGCGGCTTTCGCAGGGGCTGGTGCGGGACAGGGGGGGGGGGCAAGTGTAAGTGTAAGTGTCAATCAGGGAGTCGCTCAAACGGTCAATCAGTCGGCGTACAGCGCGCAATCCTAATCGCAAACTTATGCCACAACTGGACGAGGCGGCGGCCTGTGGCATGTGGGGGAAGGGGGAAGGGGGGGAGAACAACTTTTGCAACTTTTTGCTCTTCGAAATGTTATCGACAAAAGTCAGCCACAAAGACTCGGCCCATCCCCTGCGGATTGGATCCCTTTTCTCCCCTCCTGTGTGAGACTCAATTAAATCGAGGACAGGTCAGCCGGGGGTCAACCAATCTGTGCGCGAGCAACAATCCATCAATTAAATGGGCTTAACACGGAACTACGACAGCAATTTATAGTCAAAGATGCGGGAAAATCCAATGCAATTCTCAAACATCGAAAGTTGATTCGAGCCTGACGACTTCTATGCATTCCCCGATTAGTTTCACAATTAAAATGGAACATGGATAATTGGGAGCAAACTATAAACGAAAAACTGTCTGAAAATGGAATCAACATTTCATTGATCTATCTGGTTGCCCATCCCCAATTTCCATTCCCATTCGCAGCAAAGTGAAAGCCAAAGGAGCTGCTGCTGTTGAGGAAATCTCCTCGTAGCGCTGGTGACAGAGCGTCGCGTCGGCAGATCTTTCATGTCAACAACACAGTTGACCACAAAAGTACGTGTACATACACAGGGGCACCCCATCATATGTTGCCTCATTTGCTGGAGCGAAATCTTTTACAGCTTTTTTGGCTGCCATTAAAATCGCCTCGGACAACGACATCGACGAACGACGGCGACGACAACATGCGGCGATCAGAGCCACAGATCCGGAGACGGAGACGGAGATGGAGACGGAGACAGAGAGCTTTTGCTAGTCCCCAAATGTGATCCAAGCGACTTTTTATTGTTGGCTTCGTTTGCTACCGTAATTGTGAGCAGCAGCCAGACGTAAAAAGCAGCAGCAGCAGCAGCAGCAGCAAAATTAAACCACCAAAGTTAAGGCTATACGAAGCTGGGGATACCCTGGGTTGTGCGACAATATTTTCTAAAGATTTGCTACGTTGCTCGCTGAACCATTAACCATTGAAATGTGTGGGCGTTACTCATCCTACCATTTGTGCTACAGCTGAAAGAATGATCCATACCTAGAGCTCAGACTTCTGCAAGTGAAGAATACAAGAATAAATGTTTTGAAGATCAGGTTGATAATACCCCTTTCGGCCAGGGTATTCGCAAGCAAAGATGGACGGACATTGGTTTAGCGGAGAGACTGCGAGACTGAGGGGACTATGGGCTGGGGACAATTGTTAACGCGGCAGAAACATCATGCGGATGATGATGATGATGATGATGATGATGATGATGATGATGATGGTCGTGTGAGAGATGTTTTGTGGCCGGGGCTATCTGGAATCAATCTTAAAAGTCGAACACATTCGACTAGCCCGCCGCTTGCCCAATGTCAGCTAAAACATTTCAGAGATACTCAAAGCCAGCGACAGAGAGAGAGAGAGAGAGAGAGAGAGAGAGACACGGATACATTGGGCGGGCTGGGGGACTCAGAGCAGAGAGGGGCGTTCAGTTTTTTCCTCTTTTTTTATGGGGCTCATTAGTAACGATAACAACAATAGCATTAAAATGCGTGTATGTACGGGCAAGTGTGTAAATGTCTGAGAAATGGATAGCTCGATGGCTGGTTGGATATATCGAGGTGAGTATCCAAGCCCAGGTACATGGGGATAATTATTTTTGTCAAGCACAGAAAGTGAGAGAGACCAGAGCGTGCAACAGAGAGAGAGAGAGAGAGAGACCAAACAGATCCAGAAGATGCAGAGAGAAAGAGAGACAGGGAGAGGAAAAACCAATCACAAACTTTTGATGGCTTGGACGAAACGTTTTTTTGATTATCGGCAACAGCAACAGCAGCAGCAGCAAAAGCAAAATGTTGAAAGTTCCCGAACAACACAGCTACAGCTGCAGCAACGAGGCATGCCCCAGAGATGTGACCACTGCTTATAATTGCCGTTGTAGTTGTTGTTAATAGTAGTACACAATAATGGCCAGCAAATAGCAGAGATACAACCAGGCCAGGCCCGGCCCGGCCAGGCCAGGCCAGGCCAGACCGACCACGGGGAGCAACGGACCCCAGAGATGTTGGTCCAGCAGAAACATCATTCCGAAAGACAAAAATCTTAATTACAACTTTGACATTTTAGAGACTTCCACAGAAGACTTCCACCAAGAATCCAAACGTTGGGGAGCGGTTCATGTAATGGATACTCCAATGTGGAATGACAATGCTGATGCTGATGATGATGATTATGATTGCGTATGCGAGATCTAACATCATTTGCTTATATGACATACAACAGTGTGAAAAATGTAGAACTTTGGCATTTCAGAAGACAAAAGTGAATGTTTTTTCGATATTTCGATACTCGACAGGGCATCCTCTTCCCACAGGTTCATAAATCGGAGTCTAAGAGTTGGTTAATAAAATCCCAAAAAGCCTAGAAATTCCCCAAAGTCACATCTATCCGAATTACGATTCCCAAAGTACACAATTTAAATACCGAAACCGATCTAGAACTCAGTTTCAGAGGCACACTGATAACGAAGGAAAAATCTTTTGGATCTGCCAATGAGAACACAACACAAAGTCCTAACGGAAAGCCCAACTGCTTTGAGAGACAACTGCCGCCGGCAAAGCAGCGACAGTAGCAGGTTTTCTACGGTACTCGTTTACATACCTTATTGTTTTGTTGTTGTTTTTCGTTTTTGTTTTTGTTTTTGTTTTTCCTGGGGATCTCAGGCAGGTTCCCGTTATACAACTCCGCAATATTTTGCGCAGCACTTTTCCTCTATGCGGTGTTTTATTTTCGTTTGGCCGTTTGAAAGGTTTCTCGCGGTCTTTCGTTGTTTTTGTTTTATTTTTGGTCACAGTTTTGTTGCATTTAAAAAAAATAGTTGGGGGGAAAACAGCGTATATTTTCCATGAGTCTTTGTTCCTGTTGTTATTGCATTTTGTTGTAGAATTTTTATTGAAAAAGTTTTGTCGTCAAGCACTGTTTCGTAGTTGGTGTGTGAGTAGAGAAAACAGCGACGGCAACGGCAACAAGAAGTCTCATGCACACACGCGCACGCACACGAAAACGAGAGGCAGAAACGCGGTAACAGTGTGTTGGTGACAGCAACAACGAGCACACAGCACACAGCACAGGACAAGCAGTTAAGTAAAGTAAAGATCCACTCGTTCGGGTGTCGTGGGTGACACTGATTGTCGTGCAGGCCGAGACGAGGCTGCGAGGCGGCAGAAAGCAGAAAAAAACCGAAACGACGACAGCGACGACGACAAATGCGACGCACACACACACGCAACGTGGCAGCGCAGCGCAGCGGGGTGGGTGACACTTTGGTCTCTCGCTCTCTCGCTCTGTCTGACTCCTCTCCAGCGGCAGCGACACGCAGCAACGGACAACTGCCACACAAATGTCTACCTGAAGCAGAGAACTGTAGCCGTAGTCTGATGCCAGCGACTCTGCTGCTTCTGCCGCTGCTGCTGCTACAGGCAGCGCTGCTTCGTCGGTGTGTGTGTGTGTGCTGGCTAAGAGAGAGTGTGAGAGCGAGAGAGGGTAAATGCGCTATTGGAATTGGCCTTCCCTCAAGCGTTGGCGGCGGCGGCGGCGACGGCGACGACGGCTGCCTGTGTCACATTGTCGTCGATGGGTCATTAGACACACACACGCACGCACGCACACACAGCTTGCTGTCCCGCTCACACGAGCCCTCTCTCGAGCAAGCCATAGAGAGCGAGTGTCGGCAAAGCAGTGCATCGGTTAAGTATAAAGAGCTGGAAGCACACGGCTCTCTTAAGCAGTGGCAACAATTTTTATTATATGTCATTATGTGGTGTGGAGAGAAGAGAGACCCCCCCCATCATCCACCAACACGCACACACACAATCAAACTCACATTGCAGGCTAATTCCTGACCACAAACCATATAGACCATACGTACATGAATACTCCTCTATATATAGGGCGGATCCCCTCGTGCGTGTGTGCTAGAGCAGCGTAACTTCTTTATATTCGGCTATCGCCTGCCTGCTCCCACAGTGTCGTCTGAGTGGATGGACCGTAGCGGTGGGGTTGACATGCGACTTATTGTCTGTGGGTGTGTGTGTGTGTATGTGTGTGTTTACTGACCAAACACTCACACACAGGCAGAGATTGTGCGGCGGCTCCTCTCTCACGCACTGCTTTAGCTCCCTTGTCATTCGCTCGCTAACGGAGCTAACGGAGCGCTCTCTCGGTTTCGGTTTCAGAGCTAAAACGAGTTGTTTGTGTGTGCTGCCGACTGCGCTGCCTCGTTGTCGGGAATGGAAATGGCCAGCCAGTAATTGTCGCTGCTATGCGCGCTTGTGTGTGTGTATGTTCGTCTTCGTCTCATTATTGACCAGGAAAGCAGCGCTGCCGCTGCCGCTGTCGCTGTCGCTGCCGCTTAGAGTGCCTCTGTCGCCGTCACACGTAGCTTTTTGCTCGTTTCGTTCTTTTAAATTTTTGTCATTTGATGTCTTGTGTCCACTGTGTGCCGTTGACGCTGCCCGCTGTCGCTGCTTGCTGCCCGATGCCCGCTGCCCGCTGTCAACCACTACCACTCGTTGGACAGGCAGGCAGAGACCAACCGGTAATGTTTGTGTCCGTCCCACTCTGGCGCACACCAATGGCCGATCCACACTGCTCGCTGTGTCTCTCTCTCTCTCTCGCTCTCCCTCTTTCTCTTGCTATGCGATTGCGCCACAAATTGTATGCTCTGTCTCTCTGTGTATGCGTGTGTGTGTGTCCCTGTATGGGTGTCACACAATACGACACTTTAATATGGGGGCGATTTTCGCCTGTCTCCCTCTGCACCAATAGTATTTGAGCACTTTTTTGGGCTGGCTGGTGACAAAGGCCCCGAAGAGTCGCCGTCGTCGTCGTTGTCGCTGGCGTTGGTTGCCGTCGGAGAGCTGATGCTGCTTCTTCTTCGACTTTGCTTAACAATTTCTTCATTTTTTGTTTCTGCCATCTCTCTCGCTCCTTGGCTCTTTTTGTGCGTTTTCTTTATGTAAATTGCTTCACGGGCACATGCATATGTATCATATGTACATTTTTACATAATACATTTTGATTTCTGTTAAATTGTCAATATAACCAGATTTGGAAGCTATCCCAATATTATTTTCTAAATTTATTCAAATATATAGTATGTCCTGCAGCCCTATTAAAATATGTAAGCTAAATTCACTCTTTCGGTAGTTTTCTTAAATTCCTTAAAGATTCTTTAAGAGAGATGATTCTTGATCAAAGTTATTCCAAAGTCTCTCTAACATATTGAAATAGAAATACAAGAGTCTCAAAAGCTTCCGCTCTGGCGTCAGTCCCTTCCATTCTTAGAGTTTACTCTTTTGGGATGACAAATGTACAAGGTACATATTTACATACATAATGTAGTACATATGCATTTAATGTATTTAAGCACTGCATAGTCACACTCGCTGTAACTCATTCATTCACATCAATCGATCATACAAATTACAAAATCAAATTACATACAAATGTACATATTTACATACATTTTGTACATTCAAAGTCTTCCATGCACTTCAAATCATTTTGTGCTAATTTAAATAAACATAATATACACACAAAATATAAGTAATTTCTACATTTATAATTGTATCACATAAATATTGATACCCATTTTTATATTAAACTATTTTCACTTAAATCAAGTATTTACATGTGTACATTACAAATTAAATATAAATCTAATTTAATTGTAATTTTAAAGAATGCCAGAAAAGTGTGGTAATTTGTTTAAATTAAACCGAATGCAGAGAAAGAGGTAGAGAGAGGTTCATTATTCAATGAACATTCGTGCGCTAATTTCATTATTTCAAATACGAATCAAATGTCTAAATTACATATAAATACATTGTACATATATGTATGTATGCGTACATAATTTTCTTCAGCACAAAATACTGTTTAATGACACGTTTATTTTATTTAAAACAAATTCTGTCAATCAATTTTTATGTGGATATTATAAACTTCCAGCACAACAAAAATGTAATGTAAAATCTGATGTTAGAATAGGGCCTAGGACCAAAAATCATTCGAAATCAGAGATTTAACATGGGTAGATACGTGAACTGAAATATGATATTATGTGAGTATGTACACACATCCCATGCATTACTTGTGGAAGATTCTCTGGTGGTATGGTTAAGACGGCAAAATATACGTATAATAATATGGTGAATAAAATGCACACAAAGATTAAGCTTTAAGTTGGAAAATGAAAATAAAATGTAACAGCTTTTAATTTGGGTGCAGTATAAATAAGGCGCTGAATCCGTATTTGCCAGCTAGTACCTTAAGAACACAATTAAGACATTCAAAAGCAAAGGTCCAGCAGGTACTTACTATCAATCTGGGTGGGTGCTTATCTTGTGGAAAAAGTGTTGGCCAAAACCTAATCATTTTAAGCGCCTCAAAGGCGTAAGCATGTCCTGCTCATAGATTCGATTAAATGATATATTTGCATAGTTTTTGAAGTGGAACTCCTAATATTTACGAATAATATAAAAGGCATAAGCCGAGCACTCGACAGTGAGGCCATTAATGGCTTTAATTTAAACCGACAAGGCATTTCCGAGTGAAACGCTGCTTTTGCTCATGCTTTTCAATAACTATGGTAATGAACTCCACCCCCCAAAAGAGGATGGAGAGATGGAAGTTTTGTGTTTCGGAGGGGGAATCCCGTTGCAGATTCGCCACTCGATGAGCAGAAATCGATTAGCAGCCCACGGGTGGGGTGGAGCCCCCAAAAGGTTCCTCCACTCGAAAGACTAGACAACTTCGTGCGTGTATCTATGTATATGTATGTATATTTGTTACAGCCACTCAATACACTTTGAAGGTCAAAGTTAAATCATTTTTATAAGCGGATAACCGCACTCGTAATAACACGTACACGAGTGTGCGAGTGTAAAAGCAGCAGCAGCCACCCAACAGCGGGCGCAAAAATTAAATGTACGAGCAGCAGATTTATTTTTGCATGTGTGTACAACAAATTGGAATGGAATTGGAATGATGTATTTTACATGTTATGTAAGCCTGTTTAGTTACACTTTCAATGTGTTATTGTATTGTTGGGAAATGTTACAAAAAACATTTATTCGAAACACACACACAACAAAAAAAAAACACCTTCAAATGCGAACAGCAAATTGGTTGCCGTTCGGGGCTGGGTCTACGCCAAAGATATTAGAAAGTATTCATGACTTTAAATACGTTTTAATAATCATTTTGTGTAATCATTTTGGGCTTACAGTGCGCGACATATGTATGTATCTATATATATGTATGTCAAATCCACATGTCCATAATTGTTGTGGTCAAAAATCAGCCCAAAATATAAAGCTCCCATAAAGTCATTAAAGCGTTCAAAAATGATGTATGCAAAAGTTGTTGGGACGTGAATGCCTGGCAATACAGGAACATACAATAGTTCAGCAGCCACAGAAGTCTAAGGGAACTCTAACTCCCATTTAATAGCACAAGATTTGGTTCCCCCTTGAGAGAGATTCCACGCTCTGACACACCTGAGAGTTGCGCGTTGCCCATTGCTTTATTGATGGATTCGTTCGAGGGCGAAAGGTGAAAAGTCAATCGATTTTTGGGTCATCAGAGTGGACAAATGGAAATGTCTCTCCACGACTCTTTAGCTCATTTGATGTCCCTCCCCTTGTGACTGGCGACTAGTGACTGGTGACTGGTGCCTGGTGACTGGTGCCTGGTGCTAGTCAACACTTTCATTTTTTCCTTTCTCTTCTATTGTGTGGCGAAATGCTTTCATTAATCAAAAAGTTGTTGTTGTTGTTTCTTTCTTGTGGGCCACTCTCCGGGCTCTTAGATCTGTGCGTAGATCTCTGATAAATAATTGCTATCTTATTATGTCGATTGTCGTTGCTGTCGCCGCCGCTCTGCTGGGGTCTCGCAGTCAGAAATCAGATTTTCGAGACCGAGCCGGGGTCTGTCTGTCACAGTGCCACATCTCGAGGCACAAAGTTCTTTATTAACACGACACGGCGCCCTTTGTTGCACGAACTCCAGCAGACCCGATGCCGAATCGAACTTCAACTCCACATCGATCAATCATTTTTCACACTCTTCTGCTGCTGCTGCTGCTGCTGCTGAGTACCCTGTGGAGTACGTGGATCGAACTACATGCGATATATTGTATATGTATGTAGGTATATCTTTTGGTCTCCCATGACCAAAGCGCTGGTGGAATTGTACTTGACTTCGTGTCAATAAATCGTTTC